GAGTAGACAGACTCAAACATAGCGTAGAATTGAGCAGAACGAAAAAGACAGTGAGAGAAGATAAAAGAATAGAGAAAAAAACTGTTTGCTAATAATCATTTTTAGAAAGTTGTTAAAAGTCGTTGAAAAAAGACAATCTTCTGGGATATGATTTGTACTTTGTAGCTTCTTTAATCCTAATTCTAATCTCGATTTAAAAAGCCGAAGCAAAACACACGAACTTGCATATTTATTTAAATAGAATGGGTATGCAGATAAAATAGGTAATATTATATGTGTAAACATTTCAGATCGAATGTATCCGTAAAAGGACACTATGAATAAAGACAAAAGGAAAACTTATCTTAACCAACGCGTTTCGTCCTCTGTGGGAGTTTATCAAGGCAAATGCATTTGCATTGATTAAAGTCCCTGGGAAGACGAAACGTGTTGGCAAAGTTTTCACTTTGTCTTTATTCAATATTTTATATATTCTGTTCGAGAGGAATTAGTTATGTTGGTTTGGCCAAAGAGTTCGTTTTGGTTTCTTAAGTAAGTTTTTTACTTAACCGAAATGACTTTTTAGCCAAATTATTAATTCCATGTTCAATTTAATATGTTTGTAAAAAATGTTCTGATTAAAAAAAAATCATAACGGAAAATTAATTAAAATTTTTGAAATTATGAAAAAACCCTTGTGTGGGGTGGGGGGTCTTCTGTTCACCGTTACTCATTCATTTAGGCTGGCAAATACAGTAGTTTAATGGCAGATTAATGTCTAATGAGTGATTAATGTTTGCTCATAATGAAAAAGACACAGTGATAATCGTTTTTGTTTGACGTTGATAAGCTGCTTTCTGTTCTTGAATTAACGTGAGACATGATTGAAGACCCACATTTAATGGATTTTATAGATTCACGTGCAATATTAAACGTTTAGTTGTTGAATAGGGGGTAAATAAATAAACAGTTGTTAAATAAAGGGTAATAAATAAATACTTGTTGAATAGAGGTAAGAAATAAATTATGGTTTAATAGTGGGCATAATAAAAATGGTTCAATAGGAAGTAATACATAAATGGTGGTTAATTAGGGGTAATAAATAAATAGTAGTTAAATGGGGGTAATAAATAAATAGTAGTTTAATAGCGTGGGTAATAAATAAATAATGGTTAATAGGGAGTGATAAATAAATAGTGGTTGAATGGGGGTAATCAATAAATAGCAGTTGAACAGGGAGGTAATAAATAAATACTAGTTGAATGGGGTAATAAATAGTGTTTGAATAGGAGTTAATAAATAAATATAATTAAATAGTGGAGGTAATAAATAATGGCCGAATAAGGTGTAATGAATAAATAGCGGTTGAATGTGGGTAATAAATAATTGATGGTTTAATAGGGAGGTAATAAATAAATAGTGGTTGTATAGCGGGTAATAAATAATAATTGTTTGAATAGTGAGGGAAATAAATAAATATTGAGAATAAAAACCCCTAATATTTTTTCTTTCTTTTTATAGAGATCAATAACAAATAGAACAATTCTGGATTGCTCAATTTTTCTCAGCAATCTCTCCATTGAATTCAATCAATAAAGAACGTCACATAATCAAATCATGGGCAAAGTTTTCATTGGGACAAGGTAAAAGAAAAACTGTTCGATAATTTCTGTTTGAATTTCTGGGACGAATAGTTAAGATTATATTATTTATACGAGGACTATTGTCCTCATCTTTGTTGTTTTTCTCAGGACGTCCCGGCTGCTCTGCACTTCGGTCTTCGCCAGGTACTTGTCAGTCTGGAGAACCTTCAGGGAATTTCGAACTGAACTCTTTATTTAATCTACGGGGATAGATTCTTCTAGTTTCGCTGTCCATGTCTTGGGATATGTTGTATTTGATGACGGTCAGAGACCATAACGGTCAAAACATTGTGATAACAACAACAAACATAGGGACAATAGTCTGTGTTTAAATGATGTAAAAAAAAAGAAAAAAACGGTATAAGAGAGTGGATAAAGACATTGGTTAGATCCAGTGACTAGACCCAAAGAGTTGTGAGTTCAATACCAGGCCACAGCAGTGGTGAACGAAAAAATTAGAGTGTTGAGTTGACCTTTGGAAGAGGCATGGCACGTGGAACTAGAACAATCTATCCTGGTGGACGAAATAAATGGTTCGGTTCGAAATTCCAATCACCTGAAGAAGACCGGGACGTACAACGACCGAAACGTTGTGAATATGGCAATGAAGATGAGAATAACAGTCAGAATAATGTAAATAATGCAAGTAATCGTGATACCTCATCTCAGAGATATAGACAAAAAACGGTATGACAAAAAGGAAGGATTTCTCTTGACAGTTCATACTCTGTATTGTTGTCCAAAGCTATTTTTAGAATTTTAATTATATAACAAATGACTTTATATACATTTTCTATAAAACTGAGAACAAAAATGTTAAAAATTATTTTTGTCATATTGTTTATTTAAAAGATTATTAATTTATAATCTTTAATTAACCATAGTTTTTTTTAGGAACATTACCTCCCATCATCATGGCTTTTATTAAAAATGGTCCAAAATAACATTTTTAAAACAATATAAATTACAAAGGGAGTAGACGGTAAGAGTAAAACATTATTTTGACTTTTATTTTTCTTTACCTCGTCCTATGTTAAACTTTGCTGAATAATATCCGACAAGTAGGACATTCTATTTAATATCTTTTCCATCAAAACGTCGAACAATTTATATCATTTTTCGTCAGTGCAATGCTTTTTAATTCTTTATTCTTCATATCATTTCATATTGTAAAAAGACCTTTTTCAAAAATCTCCCTTTAAAGCGTAAACATAATTATAATAAAAACAGTAAGTTTTATCTGCAAGTTTTGAAATAACAATTAAACAATAATTTTTAAATTGATGTATTTTTTGCCATAGAGGAAATGCGATAAAAATGAACGGATTCATTTCAGCTCAGGGAATATTAGGTTTCAATCTTAAAGTTTATATATTAACTTATTGAAGAGTTTTATTTTCTCATATATATATATATATATATATATATTGGGTTGGTGCATAATTATCAGGCGTTTTTGTAAGCGAGTTATTTGTCAATAAAAATTTCCGTTTTCTTTTACGTTTTTTTTTAATGAAAATAACATTTTATTTTCAATTTATACAAATGCGTGTCGCTAATCACAGTCATTTAAAAATGTTATTGTTGAATTGTTATGTCTCTTTTGTTATAATAAATATTGTTTAAAAATGCCTGATAATTATGCACCGACTCAATATGTATATTTTTTATACTGACTTGGACATTGAGTTCTACCTGGATTCTATCTTCTTGGAAATTTATATATATATGTGTGTGTGTGTGTGTTGTGTATTCCCTTTTTAGGTATATTAGAGCGCTCATTTTTACATGCTTTTGAAAGAGATTTTTAATATACATAAAAATAACACTTTCAACTTATTTACCGATTAACAGCGCTGTGTCTGTGTCACGCTTCGCAATTTTTCAAAATGGGTGTTTGTTTCATTAAAACATTACTTTTGAAAAATATTAAAAGAAAAATAGTTCTCGGTAATGTTAATAAATCAGACACCCATTTTGAAAAATCGCTAAGCATGAAACAAATTTATACCTGATGGCTGTCGACTAGTGAAAAGAATATGACAATTTTGATCTATGGTTTTAGTTCTCGGAAGAACGATAATGTTTACACACACACACACACACACACACACACACACTCACAGAGACCCACGCACACATTCCACACACCCGCAGTACACACACATTCCCCCTACACACACAGTACACATGCACAAGCACAATCTTCTTACACACACAGTACACACATACACGCACACACACAATCCCCCTACACACTGTCTACACACATACGCATTCCCTCACACACAGGGCGTTCCCTGCTACACAGTCCACACACACATATTTCCCTGCAGAAACACACAGCGTACACACACACAGTCCACATAGACGTGCACATGCAGTCCACACACACATTTACACACAGTCCATACACACACACATACAATCCACACATACATACAAACACACAGAGTCCACACGCACACACACACAAATTCTCTCTCTCTCTTTCTCTCTCTCTCTCTGCTATCACATCGCATTGGCCCCACCTATTATGGTTCTAGCCCTGTCGTTAATCCTCCTATAAAATCCCCAAAGCCCGAGAATATTCTGTTTGTTACTTATTATAAATTTGCATTTGTTTAACGCTGTGATTTGAGAATAAATTTTCAATTTATAAAATCTGAATTTTTCACAGGATAAGAGATGAGAAAGAATTTTAATCATATGCAGAAGTTATAAATATATTGGTAAAATTTACTAGAGGACAATTTAAAATAGGGGAGGAAATGCAGAAATAGGGGATCACAAGGGGAGAAATGTGATTTCGGACTCTGAATACAACTCGTCGAATACGATTCCTAAATTTTCAAAGTAAACCCTTTTTTCTCACAGAAATTTATGCTTAAGCAAGAATAGTATAAACAATATAAAATTATTTTAAGTATCCTTAAAAAAAATATACATTACAATTGAAATGGCTTTGGTTGTTGTTGATGGGAACCAAAGTTTTTTTTATGGAACTTAAGGAGATGAAAATGGTGTCTCCATTTTGTAGAAATTTTCATAACAGAATTTAGAACGCTCGTTAATAAGAGAACTTGGTTCTTGTAAAGAATGGGGCAAAAATTAAAATTCTAATGGATATTTCAGGACATTCTTCGCATTTCATAAAGCTACAAAGGAAGGCAAGAATCTTTTAGAATTAATGATTTAGCCATCGTTTGATTTAAGCAGTTCTTTCCATAAAAACAACTGAATGGAAAAAAAAAAACGCCAGTTTCGTCTATGATACATATGTTTATGTAAAGATCAATTCCATAGCATAGGAGTGGTTAAAAGAGAGAGAAAAGGAAAAAAAGAATATTAGAGGGACAGACAATGAAGAGAGAAAAGCTAAGAGAGGGAGAGAAGGTAAGAGAGAAAAAATAGAGGAGGAGGGGGAGTGGAGAGAAAGAGAACTAAAGAAGAAAGCAAAGAAGAGAGAAATAGAATGGTATAGCGAGATAGAGAGAGGAAAGAGAAGTCTTGAGAGAAATAGAGGAGGAGGGAGAGAGAAGTCTCAAGAGAAATAAACAGAAGAGGAGAGGAGGAGGAGAGAAGCCTCAAGAAAATTAAACAAAGGAGGAGTGGAGGGAGAGAGAAGCCTCAAGAGAAATAAACAGAAAAGGAGAGGAGGAGGAGGAAAGAAGTCTTACGAGAAATAAACAAAGGAGGAGTGGAGGGAGAGAGAAGTCTCAAGAGAAATAAACAGAAGAGGAGAGGAGGAGGAGAGATGTCTCAAGAGAAATAAACAAAGGAGGAGTGGAGAAGCCTCAAGAGAAATTAACAGAGGAAGAGGTGGGGGAGAGAGAAGTCTCAAGAAAAATAAACAGAATAGGAGAGGAGGAGGAGAGAAGTCTCACGAAAAATAAACAAAGAGGGGGAGGAGGAGGAGAGAAGTCTCAAGAGAAATTAACAGAGGAAGAGAGGGGGGGAGAGAGAAGTCTCAGGAAAAATAAACAGAATAGGAGAGGAGGAGGAGGAGGAGGAGGAGGAGAGAAGTCTCAAGAGAAATAAACAGAAGAGGAGAGGAGGAGGAGAGAAGTCTCACGAAAAATAAACAAAGAGGGGGAGGAGGAGGAGAGAAGTCTCAAGAGAAATTAACAGAGGAAGAGAGGGGGGGAGAGAGTACTCTCAAGAGAAATAAACAGAAGGGGAGAGGAGGAGGAGAAAAGTCTGAAGAGGAATAAACAGAAAAGGAGAGGAGGAGGAGAAAAGTCTCAAAAGGAATAAACAAAGGAGGAGAGGAGGGAGAGAGAAGTCTCAAGAGGAATAAACAGAAGAGGAGAGTAGGAGGAGAGAAGTCTCAAGAGGAATAAACAGAAAAGGAAAGGAGGAGGAGAAAAGTCTCAAGAGGAATAAACAAAAGAGGAGTGGAGGGAGAGAGAAGTCTCAAGAGAAATAAACAGAAAAGGAGAGGAGGAGGAGAGAAGTCTCAAGAGGAATAAACAGAAGAGGAGAGGAGGAGGAGAAAAGTCTCAAGAGGAATAAACAAAGGAGGAGAGGAGGGAGAGAGAAGTCTCAAGAGGAATAAACATAAGAGGAGAGTAGGAGGAGAGAAGTCTCAAGAGGAATAAACAGAAAAGGAGAGGAGGAAGAGAGAAGTCTCAAGAGGAATAAACAGAAAACGAAAGGAGGAGGAGAAAAGTCTCAAGAGGAATAAACAAAGGAGGAGTGGAGGGAGAGAGAAGTCTCAAGAGAAATAAACAGAAGAGGAGAGGAGGAGGGGAAAAGCCTCAAGAGAAATAAACAGAAGAGGAGAGGAGGAGGAGAGAAGTCTCAAGAGAAATAAACAGGAGAGAAGGAAGAGAGAAGCGTCAAGAGAAATAAATAGAGGAGGAGAGAAAGAGAACGAAAGTAGAAAGAGAAGGATAGAGAGAGTAAAAAGAATGGTATAGCAAGATATAGAAAGGAAAGAGAAGTTTCGAGAGAAATAAACAGTAGGAGGTGAGGTGTGGGGTTCAGAGAAAAAGCACTAAAGTAGAAAGCGAAGGCAAGAAAACAGAGTGGTATAGAGAGATAGAGAGGGAAACAGAGAAGGTGAGAAACAGAGACAGATAAAGAGATTGAGAGAGAGAGTGCGCAAGAGAAGAAAAAAGAAAGGTAGATAGAGAGAGGAAAACACTTATTTATCCACGGAAGTTGATCCATTTGTAATTTTTGGCATGCAAAAAATGGGGATAAAACCTTCGCGAAAGGCCTCTTCGCAATATGCTATGAAGAATAACTTGGTTCTGTTTAATAAATAGGAGAGCTTTCAATAAATTTATACTAAAAATTCCCCTTTTACTCAGATATTGTGCGCATTTATTATTAAAAATGTGAAGTCATATAAAATCACATAGAATCTTCGTATTAAATTAAATGTCGTTCAATCAATTCAGATCATATTTTAAAACTGTAATTAAAATAATTTCTCCTGCTTCTCGACTCTGGCTAGAATTACATTTTCTCCAACAGTGAGAATTTCTGATCTCACAACATTTTCGTCAATTTGCTTTTATTGTTTTTAATTCCGACATGATGGTTTATGTTTTCAAAAGCTTTAAATAATTCGTACTTTCAATATAAGATAATATCGAAACAATGTAAGGTTTCGTAAAATATTTCAGTAGCTGTTGTTGTTTTTGTTGTTGTTGTTGTTGTTGTTGTTGTTGTTGCCGTTGTCTGCGGTGGAGACAGCTTTGATGCCAAGCAATGATGACGTCATCGTTACTAGTGTGAGTAGTTTGAAGAATAAGCAAAATCGAAAGTTGTCCCCCTCCACGGAAGACGTTGATGACAAGAGTCCAGCATTCATCCGGAAGTAGAGGTCGACGTTGAAGAGTTCGAAGATGGTGTTAATGATGATGAAGAGGAGGATGATGATGATGATTTTGATGATGGCTGTAAAGGTGGTAGTTGCAGAGGCTTGTGGAAAGAAAAAATAGAGAAACGAAACGAAAACATAGGGAGAAAGAGAGAGAGAGAAAGTGATAGAAAGAGAGAGAGTTAAAGAATTTCAACAAATATAAAAAGTGCTTCATCACGGAGAATGTGGATAAAACTAAAAATAAACAAGGAAGCAAAAAACAAAAGTTTTCTTTTTTATGAAGATGCTCGATTTAGTGCTTGTGTACGGTGAAAGTGTTGGATTTCATTCGTGCGAAAGGGATTTAAGGAAAAAGGGGGTGGCTGGGATGTGCGCTTATATCTATATCTATCTCATTACATACGTTTTTTGTTTTCAATTTCTTCGTCCATTGACTATTTCCTTTCTTTTAGTTCATCTACTTTTAATTTATGGCTATTTTTTTGATTTCCATTTTCGTTAGTAAGGCATTTTTCTTACTTCTAAATTTTATTTCATCCGTCCTCTTTTCTTTCTTTCTTTCTTTCTTTCTTTCTTTCTTTCTTTCTTTCTTTCTTTCTTTCTTTTGTTATTTTAATATTTCTTTTAAAATTGCACTTTTTTCCTCTTTTACTTTTTCCTTCTTTCTTTATTCCTTTGTTTCTTTTATTTCAATGTTTCTCTTACTCTTGCAATTCTTTCTTTCTTTCTTTCTTTCTTTCTTTCTTTCTTTCTTTCTTTCTTCTTTAATTTTCCTTTCTTTCTTTCTTTCTTTCTTTCTTTCTTTCTAGTTTAATTTTCCAACCATTCATTCATTCATTCTTTTCTTTTTTTTCTTTTTTCTTTCTTTTCTTTTTTCTTTCTTTTCTTTTTCTTTCTTTTCTTTTCTTTCTTTTCTTTCTTTTCTTTTTTCTTTCTAGTTTAATTTTCCAACCATTCATTCATTCATTATTTCTTTTTTTTCTTTTCTTTCTTTCTTTTTTCTTTCTTTCTTTCTTTCTTTCTTTTCTTTTCTTTCTTTTTTCTAGTTTAATTTTCCAACCATTCATTCATTCATTATTTTTTTCATTATTTCTTTCTTTCTTTCTTTTCTTTTCTTTTTTTCTTTGGTTGTCGTTCAGTTCTAATTTCTATATTTCTTTTACAGTTGCAATTCTTTTCTTTTTTTCTTTCTTCATATTTCCTTTTTGATTTTTATTCCTATTCCCCTATATATATATATATATATATATATATATATATATATATATATATATTATATAAAAAAATAATAATACATAGAATCAATCAGTAATATTAATGCGATTAATGGCGAAATCACTTCGTTTGTAGAAACATAAAGAAATGCTGCCTAATTTAATATATATATATATATATATATATATATGTGTGTATATATATATATATATATATATATATATATATATATATATGTGATATTTTTATTTAAATGCGTTTTAATTTTGTATCCTCATTATATATTGTTTATTTTAACGCGCCTTAAAGTATAAACTTTTACCCTAGATATCTGGACTAACTTTCTTTTGTATACTCTACTGCAATATTTATAACAGGCTGGAGAGCGGACCTGCCTCAAAACGAAATCAATTTGCTGAGCTGACCAAACTTTCAGAAGTGCAGTGATTTCGATTGTATCTCAGAACTAAAAGAATGAAACATTTACTCAGCTCTCCCCCCTCTCCCTTTCTCTCTCTCCCGGATGTGCCATATCCCGTGTCCCTTCAGGACGTGGACAATCATTTCTATTTCCTTTTCGTTCGTTTCAACCGTTGGTTGATGATCGGAGAGAGAGAGAGAGAGAGAGAGAGAGAGAGAGAGAGAGAGAGGGGTATAGATAGACAGATAGTGAGAGAACCAAAGGGAAATGAATAAATTAGCTTTCATTTATCTCCTCTAAAGTTTATCTATCTATCTATCTATCTATCTATCTATCTATCTATCTATCTATCTATCTATCTTATAACCAAGTACATTATTCTGGTGGGACTTCTTGATCAGTCCGATAACTTTTCAGCATATCTCTCTCTTTCTGTTCATAGCCTTCTATGTAACATGGTCTGTTCATATCTATCTATCTATCTATCTATCTATCTATCTATCTATTTCAGTCCTTTTCATATCTATGTCAGTCCTTTTCATATCTATCTATCTATCTATCTATCTATCTATCTATCTATCTATCTATCTATCTATCTATCTTAGTCCTTTTCATATCTATCTATCTATCTATCTATCTATCTATCTATCTATCTATCTATCTATCTCAGTCCTTTTCATATCTATCTATCTATTCATCTATCTATCTATCTATCTATCTATCTATCTATCTATCTATCTATCTAAATTCAATCCCGAAAATAACTGCATGCAACCACAGTCTTTGCTCCTGAATTTAAAAAGCAAGCATAAATCTATATCACAAAAGGAAGTGCAAACATAACGACATCCAAATATCTCAGTCGGTGCTGACATTCCCGTCAATAGATGTACATTCTTTACGGATACGCATGCGCACTAGCAAAACGGAAACTCAAGCACCTAAAATGAGTGACAGTCATACACATGCTTGAGCAGGGATATGGAAAAGTGCATAGGATAATGGGAGTTGTTTCTCTTCTCGTGAAGCGATCCAATAGAAATTTGTGCAAGAAAAAAACTCAATTGACAATTTAAAAAGCAGAAAAGTTTTTTAACGCATCGCAAGAAACATGATAAATACAATTGTTATTGATTAAAAATATAACAAAGGAAAGAATCCGTTTCTTTTTGACGGCTTATCAACCCATGTATCGGCAACGACCTTTCTTTGTTTGTTTTCTTTGTTAGGGAGAGGCAATGATCAAGTAAACCCCAAATTGAAACAAATATGATGGCTATTCGGTGTTCGAATCCAAACGTTTCTTTCCTTGTACAAATATATTATTTATTCCATCATTCTTCATTTTTTTCTTTTTTTTTTTACTAAATGTTCATCCAATAAAAGACCCAAGAGTCATTCATCCTAGAGCGTGACTGAAAAGTTATTTTATGGACATAAGAGAAGCAACAAACTACAGATCACGATTTAAGATAAATAACTATTAACTTGAAAAGGTTAAAATTGTGACCGAGAAAGCATTCTCTCGGGAATTTGTTTTACAGAGTAGTCGTTCTTGGGAAGAAAATGTTTGGGTAAAATTTCTTACAAATAGATTACGAAGCGAGTGGAAAGGAGTACTAGCTGGAAAGATCTGAACTGGTGAAAACAAACTCGTCTAGACATTTTTCATGGAAATAACGATAAAGTAGTGATGTTTTTTACAATCTTATGTGGACACATAATACGCATTGCAGGACATTGCTGGTGAGCAAAACAAGAACTCACAAGTGGTCTACTGCTCTGGACTCCTAGCCAGGAAGCAAAATGGGTTGGTCACCCACTAATCACCTACATTGACCAGCTATATCGTGACACAGGATACCTTGATGCCGGACTGTGATGGTTGGCGTGAGAGTCTCATGAATGTCTGCAATAACTCGACCGAATAATAATAGACAATAGGATTTCAACGCTGTGTCTAGAGGAGAGAGACTGCGGAACAGAAAAGAAAATCACACACAGCTCAGATACGGCAGCAATATTCTAGTTTCGTTTAGAGCATGACAGGAGGAGTCAAGTACTTCCTGGAACGGTACAAGCGACCGATCAGTTTCCCCACCATCTTGAGCAATAAATCTGACATATGTGTTCCATTTGAGATTCGATTACATTCAGTTTACTCAGTTAATTCTTGACGACTGTAATTTACTTTAAAGTGATTGAAGATAAAAATGTCAAAATTCATCATTGTAAACACTAATGTTACTATGTAGATTTCAATACATTGTTCTGTGAATGGCTTTCATCTTCTTATACGATAATAGGGTATTAAAATTTATTCTCCCTCTCCCCTCTGTGATAGTAAGATAAAATACTGGTTATACCTTTCTAAACATGTACCTAAAGTTAATAATTTAAAGATATACGTGGTCTGTACTGTGTGGGCTTCGTGAGCTCTGGGCGAAACAGGGATAAGCGGAATGTGTTATCATCTAACATGATACCTTTGGAGTATGTAACTGCAATCTTAGCTTTCTGCAATCATTGCATTTTTTTTCACATGCGTGAGGTGTGGCAGGAAAAATCGTGGCTGCTTTACCAAGACAATGCATCTGCTCACAATGCCCTGAGCATCCGGCTGTTTCTAGCCAAGAACATTGCCGTAATGGAACAAATTCCCTGTTCAGCCGATTTTCTTCCGGGTGACCTTTTTGTTTTCTCCAAGCTCAAGAGGACGGCCCGTTTTGAAAGCGTGGGGCCCATCAAGTGGACAGGGCATCCAAAAAGAATCCTTCCAGCAGAGCAAAGAAGCATGGCAGAGAAGGTTGGAAAAGTGCATTAAACTTAAGGAGGATTGCTTTGAATGGGGGGCCATGTTTTTGTTTGGAATTGAAATAAATTGTTTGTGATACAGGTTTCGTTACTTTTCACACACACATCGTGGGTATAAATTTTTATAAATGATAAATTTTAGGTAAACAATGTTTTGGATAATTACACTTAACTCTTTGAACTTTGTGTTCCTGGACAATTTTAACCCTTCTCCCTGAACTCTTGAGACAAAATTCGCAAATAATTGGTATGTAATGTTTCATGGTAGACAGAAAGATGTTTTCCTGATTGTTTCCTTGATGGTTCAGGTTGAAACTCTGCTTCATGATAAAAACGATCTTTTTTCATCCAATACACATGCAAAAAAAAAAAAAAAACACAATGAAAAGGCGCAGACATGTTGGTATAATGTTCGATGACATCAGAATATTACGGCTTTTCTGATTGGCTCTTCAAAATAAGACAACCAATAACAAAACACGATGCAAATGTTTACCAACTTTTGGCTGTACATTACGTCATTTTCCTCTACCACCGATAAAGCGGTGGTCAGGGATCAAAGGGTTAAACGTTATATTTGTTTGTACGCTCAATCAATGAAGAAGACGCTTGGTCCTGGGGATTCCAACTCTGCAACAGAACCTTCCTCAGGGCATATCCTTATTTTCTTCATGCGCTTTTACTATTATTTAGTGAGTTATAAGTGTAACCATCACAAAGAACCAAAATCTCGTTATCATTATTCAACATCTCGCGATATCGCAGATTAGATACGTTATTTACCGGACATTCCCACGAAGGGAGGATAAAACACAATCTCATTTATTTTTAATGTGGGTTACCCGTACGCGTCCATAATATACCCAGGATAAAAACTGCTCAGTATCATACTGGCATCGAGGCTAAATCGTCTGTAACTCGTGAAATAATGAAGGTGTTGACACAGAGTTGGAATTCACGGGATCGGACGCTTTCTTCATAGATTAATGAAGAGAACAGATACTACATTTAATATTTACTCGCCCCCCCTCATAGTGACGGGATACGAAACAAGGTCTGTCTTATGAATAATTAAGAGTGGTCTCCCCTTGCTTTGTTACTCTCCTCTTTGAGAGAGCTATTTCTGTTTACTGGGACTATAAAAGGACACTATACGCGAACCTTGAATTCTCAGCTGAATAAAGCGTTCGTAAAGCCTACACCTGCGTACTTTTTGTCATTACAGCCGGTTTAAAGTGGAGAGCCTAAGGACCAGGTCCTAAAATTGACCGGTTCCCGAAACCAATGTTGCGCTGGTGTCAATATTCCACCGACACCCCTCTTTCGTGCAATGAGGAAGGTACTGTCGAGGGATTGGAACCCCTGTGACCAGGAATCCCTCACTAATTTTCAAATTAATGTGCAATGCAGGTCACACCTTGCGGTCTGTCAATGTCTCAGTTGAAGTTAATTATTGGATTGAACTGATGGCTATCTGCAGCAATAGGATATTTTTGAAAGATGTTTATTTAATTCAAGTACATCTCTCTCTATCATCGCAACTCTATTCTCATTGACTTAGGTCAAGACTTTCTGAAAAGAAAAATAATTGTCAATGTCACTTTTCCCTTGTACGTTTTGAGTTTGTTTGTTACATACACTCCTGATCAAAAATTTAAAATAGACTTTTTTTAAAAAATTTAAGACCACTTGAAATTTTTTTTAAAAAAGACTGTTTTTCATGGAAAAATTTTAAACGTTTCTTACTTAAGGTCACTAATTTTATAATCTAAAAGGTTATGTAGACAAAAAGTTATAATCCGAACATTTTGTTCTTTTTGTAGCAGGCTAACATAACCAGCCGTTGTCTGACGACCTTGCACCACCTGGAGCTCCATCGTCCCCCTGTAAGAAAAAGGCATCCCATACCATTAGAGACCCTCCACCACTATGACGAGGCATGTTTCTGTTATGCCAATATCGTTGGAAGCCATCAAGACCATCTAGATTGAATTTTTTCTCATCTGAAAACGACTTTCTTCCACTTCTCAATGTTCCATATTTGGTATTCAAGACCAAACCTTAAACGGTTCACTTTGTGACGTGGAAGCAGCCGAGGAATTTGTTTTCACTTTTTATTTACCATGCCTTTTTGTCGTAAGTGTCGTCTGATGGTTACTGGACTGCAATCAGCATCTGTGGCTGCCATAATTTGACTAGAAGAAAGTCCACTGGCTTTCACAACAACCCGTCTTATTCTTCTACTCAATGCTGGAGAAATTTTTGGGGGCCTACCAGTAGACTTTGCGTTTCCATAATTCGCACTGTCATTTACAAAGTTGCAAATTAGAGTTTTACTGCGATTTACCTCAGCTGTGATCGCCCGCTGTGACAAACCTTGATTATGGAAATCTAGAATTCGACACGCTCAACTTCGGTAAGTTTGATTGCTTTAGGTATGGTGACACCTTTACGCAGTGATTGCTAATCTCTAACTGAACTAAAAACATTGGAATTACCCTAGATCTAACAATTTATACCCCCTGGTCTGATAATTTTGATTCCGTGTAAAAGGCCTCATTTTATAAAAATGCCCATTTCTGAATAAATTGATTGGATTATAACTTTTTGTCTGCATAACATTTTAGATTATAGAATTAGTAACCTTAAGTAAGAAAAGTTTTATAATGTATCCATGACAAACAGTCTTTTTAAACAATTTTTCAAGTGGTCTTAAATTTTTGATCAGGAGTGTATAGATAATTACTTTGCAAGTTGTGCAAGCTTTTTTTTTTTTTAATTAGCTGTGTTCTGTCTTCAGACAGAAACACAATCCAATATAAAATGTATTTTGTCTGGCCGAAGGTAGTTACTACGTTTTAATTTTCAGCCCGTTTTGCTTCATTATATATAAATAAATACCAATTTTTAATGTAGCACTTTCCCCTGAAACTGAATATATATATATATATATATATATATATATATATATATATATATATATATATATATATATATGTGTGTGTGTGTGTGTTAACCAACGTGTGGAG